CCATCCCCTCACCTCCCTCCTGGCTCTCTCCAGCTCTCCAGTGAACTCACACAAGGCAGCTCCTACCCTGTGAAGGACGTGGTTGCTCTTATGACAAGGCAGGGTGCTTTTATGTTATCATTTAAAAGGTCCAGACAAATGAGCACCGAGAGCTGAGTCCTCAGGAATCACCGTGACTCAAACACAAGTTTTTTATAAGAAAATAAATTAAATGGCCTTGCTGCTTTACTCATCAGGCTGTTCTACCTTTAACAGCATCCCAGCAAACACTTGTGTCTTCATTTAATGCTCTGCACCCTAATACCCACCATAAAAGAAATTCAGCAAAAAGCCTGGCTGATAACTTCAGCGAATTTCCATTTGACCCTCCCCTTGGGTTTTGGGTTGAGTGTTGAGTGAATGAGCTTTAAAAGCATCTTTTCATTTAGTCTTCCACAGCAGAGAATCACCGAGCCAAGAATCATACCTCACTTTGTCAGAAGAAAAACAAGATGTGGGCTTAGTGGAATTGAGTTGCGTTGGAGCACGGTATGGAAAATCTTGCCTGTGAAGCCAAACAAGGTTTTCACTGCCAGTGTTGTAAGGGAGAGAGATGCAAAATTTTTGTGGCCAGTATTTCTCGCCTGTGCCTTGGGATCTCAGGCTCTTTGGAAATGAAAGATCCTCGTTTTAGGCAATGCTTTGCTTTAAGCAGTTTGTTAACCCTTTGTCAGACCGCAAGGGAAGAGCAGAGCCAGTGCTCTGAGGGGGAAATGAACTAAAATACTTCAGATACAGTGTTTGGGCTGTTGATCTGTGCAAGTCACCTCAGCGAGAAATTTCAGTCAGGACAGAAATTTCAGAGTCAGGGCAAGGAGGAGGAAAGGAGATGGGGGTGACTGATAGCAAAGCATCTCTCAGGTCAGAAAGCTGCTTAGAAGGACCTGATGTTGGGCACCATGGAGCACCAAAGAGAGGGAGAGAGCTTTGCTTCCTGGTCTTTGAAGGCTTCCAGGATGATGTCAAATAAGAGTAAAAGACCAACAAAACCCATTTTATAGTATATATTGTTTCCTTCCAGTCCCAGGGCTGCTCCGAGCAAGGAAATGGGACCTGGACAGGGGCATGGGCATCCCGGGAAGGGGAGTGGGCATCCCGGGAAGGGGAGTTGGCATCCCAGGAAGGGAAGCGGGATCCCTGGCAGGGGAAGGGCATCCCGGGCAGGGCTCGCTCCGGTCGGGAGATGGCAGCAGCACTTTGCTCTTTGCTCGGACGGGCCACGCCGGCCCTCGGGGGCTCCCCGAGGCTCTGGTCCCGCATCCCCCGGGGGTCAGCCCCGCTCCGCGGAGCCGCTCACCCGCCCCCGTCTGTAACCGCAGCCTCCCGCTCTGCTCATCCCCGCTCACCCACGCTCGCTCCCAGCAGACGAGCCGCCCAGGACTTTCCAGAACGAAGGCCCACCTGGAAAAAGCTGGAGTGCAACTCCCACCCCGCCCTGGGGAGCCAAGGATGGAGAGGAAAACACAGGGGCAAGGGAAAGGATCGGCTGGATCTTACAGGGTGTCCCCACTGCTCGAACTCCCAAATTCTATTTGAAACAGAGTATGACCCTGAAATCCAGGTCCTCCGAGCTCTCCCAGTGCTCCCAGCTGCTCCCATTTCCACCCACACAGGGGCGAGGTGGCGAGGGTACCCTGGGACATGCCTGGGGGTGGGTGTCGCTGCGGCTTGGTGATGCCATGGGGACACCCATGGGAATGTCACTTGGAAAACGTGCCGCAGAAGGCCAAGGTGCCCTTTGCGGCCCCAGCGAGGGCGGGGGCTGCCCCGAGGGGGCACGGCGGGACCCCGACCCCGGCCCCGGGGCCAGCTGGGGTGAAAAGGCTACTTGAGAGAGGTCAGGAGGAGAAAACTAACCTGCTTTTCTTTGGCAATTATGAAGTGACAAATTACCAGTGAAAGAGCTCATCTGTCTGTATTTATTTGTAGAGCCCCTCCTCGCCGCAAAAGCGAGGCACGGAGAGGGCCGGGATCACAGCCCTTCTCTTAAGGGTTTCAAAACACTCCGCTGACACCTCACTCCATCTCTGTCAGCACGGGGGATGCACAGAAATTAAGTGGCCAGATCGGTGCCACCAAGCAAAACGTATTTCCAAGAGTGTGCCCTGCCCCCCCCCCGACACAGCATCTTCCACTCTCCACCCCCTCAAGCACCCAGAGGACAAGGAATAGGATTTTGAAGGGGAAACTGGAGTCTCCTCTTGATCCCACATCTCCAAGAGCTCAGGGTTTAAGGAAATCTGGTGTTAGGAGGCTCCTGATAAACCACAGGGCTCTGAGCCCCTTTGTGTGCGCTGTCCCTGAGCTCCTTGTCTCCGTGCTGCTCACAGGGCAAGGGTGAATCCTGCGCACACCCAGCCCGGAGACACAACAAAAGCCCAAAGCCATTGCATTGCATGTGTGAGATGCTTAATTGCATTACAATCATCTTCTCTTATCAAGGAATCGGGAGAAGAGTCAAAACAGGCACTTTGATCGCCGCAGAAGCTGGAAAAACAGCAACGACTTGGCCAAGGTGCAAACCTCCTCCTCCCTCGCCGGCAGCAGAGGAGAGGGAGCAGAGTCCTTCCCCAGGTTTTGGGGGCTGAGAATGCCCCCCGCCTTTGGGGAGTGGGTGGCAGCAGAAAATGCAGCAGAGGAAAGACAGCAGCAACCAAAAAAACAAAACAAAACAAAACAAAAAACCAGTGGCCAGCTTGGCTTTGCTTTTCTTTCTGTTATTAGCATCGTTAAATATAGAAGCAAACCCGATTTTCAAAGCAAAATGTGGGTTTGGAGCGCCGCGGGTAGCAGTGACCCCCGGGCAGCCCGCGGCGCATCCCGGCGAGCGCTGCCCCGCAGACCCCAGCGCGCTCCGCCCGGGGATGGGGGACAAAAACCCTCCGGAAGGGAGGTAAATATTTACTCTCCAAACACAAACCGCTGCCCGGAGGTTAACGAGACACACAACCACCCTCTGCAGCGGGAGCCGGCAGATGGGAGCGTGGCCGGGCGGGTGCTCCCGGCTCCCTGGGGGCTCCCAAAATGGGACAGGGAGTGGGAATGGGCAGCTCTGGGGAGCAGCAGGTCGCTGCCAAGGAGCATAACCCCCCGTGCCCCTTCCCTCGCCCTCCAAAAGCTTCCTCCCAGCGCTTCCCAAATGAAAAAATATCGCAGCCAAGCTGCAAAGCCGGGGATCGTCACTAACCAAATTGAGACACTGATTTTCCGTCTCTATCTGACCGGCTCTGCAGCCGTCGGGGGAGGATTTATCTGCGCTGTAAACCCCAGAGCGAGTTCAGTCTTGTTTGTACCTGGCAACAGATCCAGGTTAAGGGAAGGCCAGCGCTAACGGCTCCTGCTCTCCCACCCACTGCTCCCAGCACCGCTCCTGCTCCATGGGGTAACTCCAGCAGGGATGGGGGTTGGAAAACCTTCGTCCATACACACTCATCACCGGGCTGGGGGTGCTGCCCACTCTCCACGCTCCTGGCTCTGCCCAAAGCTGAGCACCGCCCGTGCTGCCACGGCACAGGGATCACCCTGATGTGCCCAGGGTGGCCTTGGTCACCTCAGTGCCACCCAGGCAGGGACAGGCTGGCACCCGGCTGGCACATCCCTCTGCGGGTCCGGCCACGGGCATCCCAGTGGGCACAATGGCCACTTGTTCCACTGGAGGGGGAGGAGAACGGGAACGTTGCAGGGAGCGATCGGGTCCCCAGCAGGTTCAGCTGGAGATGTCAAAGGGATGCGAAAATCACTCATGGAAAAACACCTGAGGAAAAGGAAAAACGTTCCTTGGCTGAGACTTGGGGTTCCCCCTGTGGTTCTACCGTGGGTGAACTTACTCCAGGCTGCATTTAGTCAGACTCGCAGTGAGAAGGAAGGATGGGGACCCCCGTGGGGACAATCCTCCACCTGAATGAATAGCTCAGGACACACCAGTGAAGAACAAAAGAGGACTTGGACTGGGTTATATTTTAAAATGCTCATATATTTTCTCTTTTTTTTTTCTCCTTTTTTTTTTCTTTTTCTTTTTTTTTCTCATTTTTTTTCCACAATTCTAATACAATTGTTCTCAAAATACTGGCGTTTCCAGCAGCAATTCTTTCTTCTTTTTTTTTTTTTTTTTTTTCTTTTTTTTTTTTTTTTTTTTTTTAAAGTGAATAATAATATACGGTAGTGATTTCACAGTAAAACAGACCTGCGGGAACGCCGGATATACGTGACAAAAGACACCCCCAGACCAGCCCACGCCCTCCCTTCCCTCCCCCCCTTGCCCCCCCCCCCGAAAAAAATTTTGGAAGTGGGGGAAAAAAAAATAAAAAGTTCATTCAAAAAAATTATTTCAAAAGAGATTTCATATAAAGCCTTTAAAACACGGTCAGAAGTTTCTCCCTCTTCTCCAGATCCCTGTGGCTGAACATTACAGAGAGAAAGAGAGAAAGTGAGAAAAAATAGAGAGAGTTTATAACAATCTCTGTAGAAGAAACAAAACAATCCAGAAAGAAAATATCCAAGAATACGGTAAGGGATAAAATTACATTTGTACAAAAATAGATTTTAACTTTATTGATGCTTTAGATATTTTTTTCCTTATGTTTTCTCTTTTTTTTTTTTTTGTCATTCTAAATTTTAATGTTATTTTTTTTTTTATCTATGCATCCCCTAGCCAAGGCATCCATCACTAAGTATTGGGATTGCTAAAGCTATTTTTTTTTTTACTCAAAACCCCTGCTTAAAAGAAAAAAAAAAACGAAGAAAAAACAAAAACAGAACAAAAATCCACAAAAAGAAAGGCATCTTAAATAGATGCTTTCCTGGCTGAGGAACAGATCCAGATTTGGCATTTGCCAATTTGGAAAGGGATTTGGATACAATGGGAGCAAAAAAAAAAAAAAAAAAAGCCAAAAAAAAAGAAAAGAAAAGCAACAAAAGCGAGGACAAAAAAATAGGAAAAAGAATCGACTTAAAACACAAAAAACCACGAAAAGTCTGTAATTGCTACAGTTATAATATCTGTATATGTGAGTGAGGGTATTTATACAGTGTATATATCTACAGTACATACATGTATACACACGCACATATAGCAACTTAAACCAGCTCCTGCACGCTCCTCACTGATGGGGACAGCATCAGCTCTTGAGCCACATTCCTGCCAGCTCCAGCCTTTTTTAGGATCAGGAGCTGAGCCCAGGGCTCCCCTTCCCAGGGTGGAGAGGTCAGGGGGTCGGTGTGGGTGTCGTACACCCGCGGGTGCTGCGGGTCCTTCGCCCCTCCCTCCCCTCCTGGGGGCCCCCCTGGCCACAGAGCTCAGCATTCCAGCGCCCGGGAAACCTCAGCATCCTCATGGAGGGGCCTGGGATGTGCTGGATTCAGATTGGTTTGGGATAGGGCTTGTGTTGGAACATGCACAGGCAGTGAGGGGACATCCGGGGTGGCAGCGGGTGGCTGAAAAGCTGATGTTTGTGCTATCTTTAGAAAATTAAAGATTGTCCCACCAACAAAAAGGAATTTAAACAAAACAAAACAAAAAAAATAATTAGAAATAGATCACCCTAATCAAACCAGATTTTTGCAAGAGTACTAAGATCTGGTTAATCAAAGTCCTACCTCTCTAGTGGATAATGTGCCTTTTTTTTCCCTCTAGCCATGTCTCACCTCTCCAAACAAGCACGTCCATACTCAGCGTTATTATGATGAGGACAACAACAACAAAAAAAGCCAAAAAGTGAAAAGAATACAAATGAAAGACTCAAACTCATGCAAAGCACATTGCTTTAAGGCTGCTGTGGCGGATGTTATGGATGCACAAAAGCTTTTCCTTCCCTTGGGAAGGGCTGGGCTGGGAATGGAGGGGGTGGGGTGGGGCCTGGGGGTTCATCACCCGCGTTCCGGGAACCCCAACTCCCCTTCACCTGCTGAAAACTGAAATCCCAGGACAAGGCTCAGCCTTTCCCCAACCCCCCTCCACCACGGGCATGGATTGAGGCTGTGAGCTGCTCCAGTAGGGAAACTTGAGGCACAGGGATGCACATCCTGATGGGAAGTCTGGAACCCATGGAGCCTCCCCCTTGGCATCACGCTGCCTGTGGGGGATACCCCCTGCCCATGGCATTTTATCAGGGCAAATGCTAATGGGAATGGGATGGGATGACACAGGATGGGATGGATAGGGTGTGATGGGATGGGATGAGATTGGATGACACGAGCTGGGATGAGATAGAATGATGTGGAACAGGATGAGATGGAACATGATGGATTAAATGGCCTGAGATGGGATGAGATGGGATGGGATGCATGAGATGGGATGGGGTGGGATGGAATGCAAGATGGGATGGAACGTGATAGAACGTGAGAGAATGGAATGGGATGGGATGAAATGGAACAGGATGGGCTGAGATGGGATAGGATGGGATGGGAAGGGACAGGACGGAATGGAATGGGACGAGATGGGATGGGACAGGAGCTCCCACCGTGCAGCCCAGCACCTTGCAGCCACCACAGCTCAGCACCCAGCACCAAGCAGCCCCTTCCAAGCCATCCAGCAGGAAAAAAAAGTGGTTCCACCCAACAGAGAAGGACAGCGGGTTTATTCTAGTGCAATATCCACCAACTTTCCCAAAGCATCCTCATCCTTTCTGGTAAGCAAGTTCCAGGCTCCTTTCTGCTGGAAGAGCCGGCCTGGGGGCTGCCCAGGGGCTGGGTGGGCTCCGGGCTGAGCTCCACTGGGAGCCGACACCTCCCTGCACCCCCCGAGGGCTGCGCCAGCCTCACGCTGGCAGGGAACAGCCTGCTCGTGTTTCCTGGCACCCTTTCCAGATTTCATCTCTCTTGCCTAGTTTTCTTGGCAAATTCTTGCAGGGTGAAGCTGTTTAATAATATTTTCGGCGGCATGCAGGCTGCTGGGGAAACGCAGCCAAAACACTCTCCCTGCCGCTGCGGATTTGCCACTTCGGGCCAGCCTGAGGGGGAAGTTCTGACCTGAAATCCTGAGTGTTTTTTCAGCAGTGAGATGGCCTGCTGAGCTGCAGGGCATGGAGCTGGGGACTCCAGCTGCCAGGCGGGATGACAACAGGCGGGTGGCAACTGTGTCCCCTCAGAACCAGAGGTGTGAGGTGGTGGGTGCTGCTCCACCCCCCCTCCGGGCATGAAGGAGGTGTTTTCAACCAGCCACAACCCATGGGGAGCAAGAAGAGGATCTTTGGGAGCAAATACTTTGTTGTTTTAAAGCACAAGAGGACATGGAAGCGGTGGGGAAGCCCTTGGCCAGAGGCCAACCACAGGCACCTCATTCTTGGCTCGCAGCACTTGTCCCACGGTGTGTTTGGGACAGTCCATCCTGCCAAGGGGAAAAAAAAAACCCTTCCCAACATCCCTCACCGCTTGCTCTGCTTTGTTTTTTTCTTTAACTCAAGTTTTTGGTGGGGCACTGGAGACCCCTGATGAGGGCTGAGATGATCCCTGGCTGACCTCTCGCCACACGCTCCCTGGGGAATCCCATCTCGCGGGGTGTGAGCACGTTCCTGGGACCGTGTCCCTAATCCCCAAAATCTTGTCCATCTCCCTGCTGTCACACCAAGACTCAAGGAAAGGACTGTGCAAAAGCCAAGGTGCTCTTGGTGCTCTCAGTATCCCAGACAGGAGGAGGGGTGGGTGCTGCCATGTTCCCCACCCAGCTGGGACCTCTCAGCCCCCACATCTGTGCCCCACAGGGGAGATTCAGGGGAGGGGGAGCCCTGTTCTTGCTTCACCACTAATTAACAGCTGCAATTAACCAGCCTGGCCAAGCACTCCCACTAATTGTTGCCTTGCAGTGTTTTGCACGGCTGAAACAACAGGAGCAGCCTCCTGGGTGAGCCGAAACCCCCGAGTGGGGTCATGCTGGGATGCTGGGGCAGTGCCAGGATATTGGGGCCATGCTGGGATTCTGGGGCCATGCCGGGATGTTGTGCTGAGGGCAGGGGTCCCAGCAGGCCCCCATGAGCTGGGGTAGGGTGACAGGGAGTCCCTGGCAGCCTTAAAGCAAGTGCTCCAGCCGGCTCTTTCTGCGTGGGCAGCTCCACACCCAGCGCAGAGGCATCTTTGGGAAGAGCAGCGATGCCCAGTCGCCCTCTGGGATGGCAGAGGGGGATTTTTCAGGTGCACGCTCTGCACAGAGGGTGACCCAGCTCCCTGTGCCACCGGTCCCCTGTTATTTAGCGGGGGGGGATTCAGCTCAATCCCAAATCCTCTGCTGTGAACTGGAAGGAGAAGACTCTGTGCAGCCACGGGTGACTCATTCACGGGGCACGGCTGGGCCGCCTCTCCCTCCGCAAAGTAACTACCGAGACTACTAATAATAGTTAGAAACCAAAAATAGAATTCTTTTTTTTTTTTTCTTGGTTGGGTTTTTTTTTTTTTTTTCCTCTTCTCTTTTTCAAAAAAACTCCATCCTCTGAAAATAGCCAGCTGCAATCCGGCGAGTTCAGCCACTCCCCTCAGCTTGTCCAAACCCCACTGCCCCCAAAAGGGCTGGGACTGTCCCCGTCCCCGCTCCTGCCCCGGGGCACCCACGGAGGGGGGGGGTGGGTGATGCCAAGCCCGGCTGGTGGCTCATCCCAAAACTCATGGCACGGCGGGGGCCGGGCAGGGGGTGGGTGGCGAGCTCTCTCCGCTCCCACTTCTCTACATCTAGCGCAGGGGACCAGCGAGCAGGTCTGGAGATGCAGCAGTGACAGCAAACGGACAGGGGTGAAGGCGATGAGGAGGCGAGGACGGCGGGGGGTCCCCCCCCGGATCAGACGGTGCCTCCGGCGCTGGGGTGAGGAGGGAGGGACGGGCTGGGGCGGCGGCGGAGGAGGAAAGCGGAGGGAGGGGCCCCGCGGGACCCCCCGGCCGGGCGAGGGACTGACCCAGCAGCAGTTTCTCTAAGTCATTTGATGGGGCGCTTCCAGCATTTCCATCAAGAAGGTGTCGATGGGTGTGTCTCCTATTAGCTTGAAGAAGAAGAGGTGCTCCAGGCATTTCAGGCCGATGGACCGGAGGGCTGGGAGGCGGAGCAGGAGCTTTGCAAACCTGGGGGACAGGAGACACGGCACGGTCAGACACCTCCCCACCTCCAGCCTCGCTTCTGCCCGGCCCCCCAAAGCTCAGAAGGGTTGGGAGTCAGACACAACCTCCTGCTGCCAAAGACACGGGGCTACACCCAGAGCTGTGCAGAGAAATCATTAATTATGTCCCCAGCCTTGAAGATCAGGCAGCCACGGTGGATATCCACAACAGTGCTCATAGCTGAGCTGGGAGGGTAAAACAAGAAATGAAAGGTCAGCCCTGGACTGGGGTGCACCACTGGCTTGGTGCATGTGCATCACCACCCAGTGAGCACCCTGAGGTGCTCGTGGGGTCCCCACACCACAGCCACGGTGAGGAGGCACCATGGGGCCAGCCTTGGCACAGGCAGAGGTGCAAACAGCTTCAGCAGCTGGATCTTTGGTCAGGGAAAAGGGCAAGCAGCTGGGAAGGGGATGGAGGAGATGGTGAGTGGCATTAGCTGGCACTTGGCTTGGTGATGTCCCTTTCCTGCAGGCACTGGGCACCTCCCAGACAGCTCCACCAGCCCTCACTGAGGCTGCTGGCCATCCCCAGCTGCAGCTGAGCCCTGGGGCTGCTGGCACAGCAGAAACCTGGCTGACAGATGGGCTGCAGGCACCTCGGGGGTGAAGCCAATGGAAGGAGACAAGGGCTTTGACACAGAAGTTGGCAGGAGCCCTGCAAACCATCCAGCACACGGGGTGCTCCCCTTCTCCAGGCCCAGTACGGAGCCCCAGCGGAACAAAAGCCCTTTCTCCCCAGCCTGCCCTGCCCGAAGTAGATGCTATCAGGTCACCCCCGTGATGCCAGCAAGAGCTGACACAGGCAGAAGGACAGGCAGGAGGGCTGGGAAGAACCAGGGGGGCTGGGGAGAGCCAGCAGCACTGTAGGAGCCAGCTGGGATGGAGATGAGCCCAATGGATCCATATCATGGAAAAGCTGCTGTGTGTTGGGCTCTGAGGGTGGCAAGAGGCTACAGAGCCAGGAGAGAGCCACCAGTTCCTGCAGGGTGCTTTGGAGCACCCTGGGGTGGCCCCACTCTGCCTGCCCATGCCCTGGGGTGCAGGCAGCAACTGGATCTCACCTCCCAGTACCACCTCCTGGTACAAAGCCTTGAGTGAGTGATCCCCACACAGGAAAAAGCCCTTTAATGGCCAGGAGTGTAGTTATTTACTTTTCCTGCTACAAAAAGCAGGGCTTGAACATAAGCAAAGACCCAGAGAGAAGGGGACCCTCCAGAAAATACACACACACATAGAGACATGCACAAACACACAGATATTACACATGCATGCACAATTCTCTCTCGCTACTTTCTTTTTTTTTTTTTTTTTTTTTTTTTTTTTTTTTTGCTGAGCTGGCGAGAACGGCGGGAGCAGAGCCAGGAAAAACAAATCAGTCCTACCATCCCATTCAGGAAGTTTCACTTTAAACCAAACCAGATGATGGTTCCAGCCCTCGGATATGTTTAACTGTGAGATAACCAGCCCGGAGCACAACGTGCCAGGGCCGGGGCTGGGAGGGGAGAAAACAGCCCTGATTCCTGACTCCCTGCGGGTGCTGGGTGTCACGTAGGCACCCCGTGGAGCAGCAGGGGCTGCAGGGGGGGAGCATGGGTGGGTTTTTCCTAGGAATGCCTCTCTCTGCCCTGCTGCTGCAGAGGAGTTCTCTTCTGGTGTTTACATGGTGCTCCCAAAGCTCTTGCTGGCCGGGGACTCAGCTGAAGCCCTGCACTGGAAGGCACCTGGAGTGGTGGGAAGCCCAGTGATCCCACAGCGTGGAGAGGGGAGGGGACCCATCATGGCTCGAGCAGGAGTTTGCTCAACCACAGGAAGAACTTGTTTCCAGCCTCAGATGGTGATCACATTGTGCCATGAGACCAGGAGGATGGAGAGAGTTCCTGAGAACTTCGTTGAGCTCTTGTGCAACTCCGGACTCCCAGCCCACGAGTTAACCCTCCCCAGCCACCTGGGATTATTCCACCCCTGCCCTGCACCGTAGGAGACATGGGGTGAGGTCAGCAGTGCCCGGTCACGGCTCTCAGGACATCCCTCAGCATGCAAAACCTTTAAGGTCACCAAGGAAAGGTGTGGGGATCACACAAAGAGGTCCCCAGCCCAAGGTCAATCAAAGCCAGTGAGAGATTAAACTCCAGAGCTCCTGGTGCAGCTTCCGGACTTAAAACACTCCCTTACACATCACTGAGCATGGAGGCAGAGCCCTGGGGAACTGGTTTGAACTGGTGGCTCAGTGACTGTGCTCAGTCATGCACAGCAGCTTGGCGGTGGTTTGGGTGATGAAGAGCAGGGCTGTCCCCGTGACAGTCCCTGCCCACCCCCAGCCCAGCCCCAGCCCAGCCCCTGTCCAGCAGCACGTGCAAGGGCACCACAACCTGTCTGTGGATACCAGGGAACAATCCAGGAGAGCTGCTGGCCATGACTCCCAAGGCAGCTCTCCCTGTTCCAGGTATGGCTGGCTGTGAGCACAGCTCTTCTGCTACACCACGACAGCCAAATGCAGGCTCTGGTTCTGCATTTGCTTCAGAAATGCATTTTAATAACGCTTTTTGGAAGAGGAGTCAGCTTGAGAGTTGGCCTGGGGTCCATACAAACCACCTGGGGGAGGAGAGGTAACCACCCCTGCTCCATGCACTGTGCTCATCCCTCACTTCCCCTCCTCACCACAACTCAAATGCACTCACTGGCACCTTCACCCTCACTCTCCCTGCCACAAGCCAACCAAGAACACCCCAGAAGCCCCTTAACAACCCATCTTTCTTCATCTGCCAGCAGAGTGGCACCCAAAGTGGGGAGGGAGGAAGGTCCAACATTACTTCTGAAGGCATGATCTGCCCACTGCATTCACTGCTGTGGGAGCTTCCTTCTTTTTATCCAGACACGCAAGACCAGGAATGCAGGTGGGATGCAAATCCCAGTTGCTTGGGCTGTTTTTCCCAATATCCACGCACCAGTAGCAGTTTCCAGTGCTTTGCTTGCTTGTTCAAAAAACTGTCAGTAACTTAACTGGCAGTTGCCAGCTTCAGGCTGTAACTGGGAAAATGCGCCCACTCAGCTCCAGAGCGGTCCAGGAAAGCATTCCTAATTCCCCCTCCCATTCCCAGCTGGATTGGGGGAGGCGGGGAGGGGAGAAAAGAGCATCAATTGAGGCTTTCACTTCCCAGCAATGATGCTCATCTGCCACCGAAAATTAACTCCATGTGAGTCTTATTTTCGCTGTGGTTTGCTCTCCGTGGTTTCCAAAAGGGAAATGATACCCCCTTCCCACATGTGCTCATCCCACTGCTGCGGCCGCGGGAGCCGGGGCTCCTCAGGTCTGCCCACCTTGTCCTGGCTGTGATGGATTTACTGGCGTGGGAATAAGGACCTCTCTGCACTGCACAGGGGGATTTTCTGAGGGCGTTCACAGGCAGAAATGAGGGGTTTATCTGCAGAGAATGTTCACTCTGAGCAGAGCTGGGAACAGAGAGCCCCAAACGGAAGGGACTCAGCAGCTGTGTGCTGGTGCGACCCCGAGGACATCCCTCAGACCTGCCCCAGGATGCAGCACCCTTTGCAGGGGGTTTCCCTGGGGTGTGAGGCTGCAGGAGGACGGGGCACAGGGGACTCACCTCCCGGGCTGGTCGGGGTATTTGTGTTTGCAATAAGCCTCTAGCGACGCGTACACCTTCTCCCGCAACGCCTCCACTTCGGCCGGGTTCGACAGACCCTTCGAGTCTGAAAGGCAACAAAAAGACCATCAGCCAAAAAATCTCCAGGTTTTCCAGGCAGGCAAGGACCCCCCATGAGCTCCCCAGCTCCCTCCATCCCGCTCAGCACCACCAGACCAGGGCAGAGTGTGGATGCAGGGTGTGAGCCCTGGGTGTTTGGGGCAGTACCAAACAACTCCTGGGGAGCATTCGAGCCCTCAAAGGTTTGCCTTGTGACTACAGATCTGGTTTATTCCGCTTCATATCCCCACCCCAACCGTTTTGGCTCATTCCAGTGGTCCCTCATATGAAGGGTTTAAGCCCCCCTTAAATCCTGGGCTTGTGGGATTTCTCCCTCCAGCACAAGCCCTGAGCTGGGGCTAAAGGAGAAGCCCCGGCTCTGGCAGGTCCCCTGTGACACAGCCAGGATCTGTTTTTAGTAGGGTGAAAGGGACAGTCAAGAAATCGATATCCCCAAGCACATGTGCCACGGGAACCTCTCCAGATTCCCCTTCTTTTACCATATACGGCTAATCCCAAATTACAGACAATAAATTACTGGTGATTACAAGGAGGGCAGGGAATAAAAAAAAAAAAAAAGCCAAGAAGAAAAACAAACCCAAGAAACAGCAATAAACCCTGCTGAAATGGCCTGGCCTGGGTTTGGTGGGAAAATCCAGGGAAGGAGCCGGGCTTGGGCACAAACTGTGCTCCTGAGAGGGCAGGGAAGGGAGGGGAGGGGTGGCTGTGGATGTGGAGGTCTATCCTTGGCTTCCATCTGATTTTTTGCTCTGGACTGACCTGCTCTAAAATACAGAGACACCCTCTGAGCAGAGCTGTGCAGGTATGTGCAGGCTGCCAGCTGGCTCCTGCTGCACAGGGATTTGCTCCCCAAAATGCTGGAGACAAGCCCTGGCACTGAACCTTTTTCTTCCCTTGGGCAGCTTGGGCCAGGGGGGAAAAGCGAGCAGCATGAACCTTCCTGGAGTCTGTGGAACCAAGCAAACTGCTGACAGATGTTCAAGTTCTTGTGTATTTTATGAGCACGTTTCATGTCTTCCACCCTCTCCAGGTCTGCGAAGGGCTTTTCCAGAAACACGGGTAATAAAACCCTCTGGATGATGAGATCAGGAAACAGAGACAACAATGTCCGTGCTCTGGCACTGCTCTAATCTGTACTTTTCTCTTAAAGGATGTCTACATTCAATTTTGCTTCGATTCAGGGATAATTCCCTCATGCACTAGAACTTTCTTCTCACAGAGTCACTCTAAAAGGGGGGCAAGCTGAGAGGATGAGGGGGAATGGCTGTAAACTGAAAGACAGCAGGCTTAGATTGGATACTAGGAAGAAATTCTTCCCCGTGAGGGTGGTGAAACACTGAACAGGTTACCCAGAGAAGCCATGCCTGCCCCTGCAAGTGTTTAAGGCCAGGTTGGACAGGGCTTGGAGCAACCTGGGGCAGTGGAAGGTGTCCATGACACGGGGTGTGAAAGGATGAACTTTAAAGTGCTTCCAACTCAAACCACTCTGTGATTCTGTGAAAGGGAGGAATGGATAAGAGCACTGGCACAGATCCAGATCCACCCCTGACCTACACAGGACATGCCTGTAAGGTGGCAGAGCCTGTGAAGCACTTAATTCAGCTTTCACCCTTGCCTCTCTTCCTTCTTGCCCTGTCCTTGGTAATGGGGTGCCCTCAGCTACTTGCAGTGGAGATTTATAGGGAAGAAGAGGTGCCAAAAGGACAGAGCATCAGCCAAGAGGGCACAGGAGAGAAGATACAGTCATGTACCAGGGTTGAAGAGGACAATGGCTCGCAGGCAGCCCAGCTCTGTCTTGTCCATCAGCATGTCTCGCATTTTTGACACGAGTTCTGTCAATACTCTGCAAAGGACACAGAAATCACAGGCGTCAGTGTTAAAGAGAAATGAGAACACCCAGGTGTCAGAGCCAGAGTGAGTTCCTCTGGTCACAGTTAACGAAGCCAGGGGATGGTGCTCGCTTGTACCAGCTGAGGATGTGGCCTCATCTTCCTCCTCTATCAAAAATAGCTCATTAGGAACACCAATAGTTCCCGTGAGGTACAACAGGGGCCATAAAAACTGGCTTCATCCATTCACCGAGAGGCTTTGGCACCTGAGAAAGCTGCCTAAAAATAAAAAATAATAATAAAAACCCACCCCAACAGGTACCTAAAAGTAATTTCCTCTGCCGGTAATTTTTATTGCTCCCTTCGCTCCTACCGCAGGTGCCGGTCTTGAAATATTTTCCACTGATTGCCCAGTTTTTCATGTTAGATCCTGCAGGGAAGTCATGATCTTGCACTTATGACCTCACAGGAACAAATGATGTCACCCAGGTCTGAAGAACAATTTCCTTGCAAGGCACAGCACCAAAGGTGATTTGCTTTCGACTAAGTCGCCTCAAGACGAGTGTCAGGCAGAGAAATCGGCATTTCAGCGGCGTCTGGAGCCACACTGTGGGTCAAACACCCTGGAAGTCTGGCTTTAAAACACTTTCCCAAAGCATGAGATTAAAGAGCCCTCGGGACACGCACGTGGAACCTGCTGAGTATTTTTGGTGCCTTTTCATTGTGAAAATAAAATCACGTCTTGGTCCAATTAAAGATGAAAAGAAACAATGGAGTGGCCTCCTCGTAACATTAGAAGGCATCTGGACCCCATGAAAGAGGCTTTGATTTGCACTGGGCAGCCTTCTCCCTGTTCTGGGCTGTTGGGTTTTGCAGGTTTAAGAGGAGGATTTAATGTTTTGGCCTGCAGCGGGGACCACAACACTTCCATGCACGCTGTGGGATGGACACCCTCATCCTGGGCTCCTCCGAGGTTGCAACGTGGGGAACGGAGGCAGTTTGGTGCAGAGACAGAGATGGGGATGTCCAGGCAAGGTGTTTTGAGATGCAATCCACCCATCCATCCATCCAACCATCCATCCATGCATCCATCCTCCCTCCCTCTGCCCACCTGTCGAAGATGGCCCCGACGCCAGCGCTGTGTGCGCTGTTCCGGTGCACGTGGAGCCCGGTGGCTAAGAGGATCCCGTCTTTCACAGCTATGGAGCGGTGGGAGAAGGAGGCAATTAGGAGCTCATTCCACCCTGGGGAGGAGAGAACAACCAAGGCTGCGGGTTAGAGCCACCTCAGCGGGTCTGGGAATCAGAATCACCTCCCCAGAGCTAAAAAGAGGAGGAACGTGCTGGAGGAGCGTGGCTGGATGTGGGAAGGGAGAGGGGAGCCAGCCTTTTCTTGGATGTCAGGGAAGGAAAAAACCATTAAGAAACAAATGCACTAAAAATATAACGCTAATAAGGGAAGCAGTTTCCTCTATAAACCGTGCAGACACGGCAGCAAACAGCTCTGCCCGCTCCTCTCGCTGTGAACCTCCTGTGTGGGTGTGGAGCCCTGTGCTCCCCTCTGCCCTCACCCGCTGCCTCCCAGCATTTCTACACCTATCAACGCTTTCTATCAGTTAATTAGGCTCATTTTCAGGCCATAACAGGGCACGAAAGTTCATTCACTATCATTCAGTTCTGTAAAAGGGACCAGGAAAACTCTGTCTTGTGGGTTTGCTGCTTCTGCTGTGTCAATACTGGGAGGGATTGTGTCTGCTCTCTGCACCGGGGTGTCCCACGTCCATGACTGCTCCATGAACTGCTTCCATAGCTGCTTGGAAACCAGTTTTTAGTCTTATTATCTGCTGGACATGTTATTTTGGGATATAGGAAACACATCCTCTGAGCCCAGACCTAGTTACAGGGAAGGGAAGGGAGATGGAACCTCCCCACCTTCCAGCTCCCCTTCCCAATCCAACACCTCTTTAAATTCCTAAATCCATCACAGGCTCAGTTCAAGAATGCCTGAAACAAAGCCACGACCAGAGGACGTGCTGCAAAGTTTGAAGGGTGGAAATTTTGGTGACTTTCAACCAAGGAGCAGCATTTTTGGGAAGAGAAGACGGTTCTTCTGCAACACCGGTCACGTGGCTGATTTACCCAGCCGGAACATGTCCTGGAGTTCAGAGCACAGGGCTGCCTGGCAGGGTCCAGAAACATCAAGATATTTGGCTTTGGTGTCTTTTTTTCCCAGTCTGGAAAAGCAACACAACAATCCTTCACCCCTCCTGCCACAGGAACACGTCGCGTCTCACTGACTGGAATAAACACAAGGTCCATGTGTGCTGTATTTACCTACTGCTGCAGCCATGGGTTGTGCCATTAGAAATGTTGACAAGGAATAAAGTTCACTCTTTCCTAAGTGGCCACAGGATGTTTCCACCCCAATCACGGGAACGTTTATTTGGCTATTTACTGGGTGAGGCCTGGCACTTTCACAGGGATTGCAACACTGTGAAACCCAAGGAGAACGGAGGAGAAGATGTGGGACTGCACCAGGAGCCTGAAGAAACTGTGTTCCCTGGATGAAGAGGAACTCCCAGAGCCAGACCCACGGGAAGGTGCCAGGGGTGCCTCCCACCAGCCATCACACACAGACCCACGGCAGCTCCACATGCAGCTCCAACCAACAAAAACCAGAGCTGGCTCACAACATCCATTCCAAGCTGGGCTTATTCCAGGGAAGGAGCTAAATTATTCCCATGTAGAGCTGGGATGTTCCAGCTGAAACGGGGAGGCTGTTTCTACATGGTCCTTTCACCAGAACATCCCCAAAGAGCTCACAAAATAGAGACAAGCAGGAAATATTAGGTGTAACCACAGGTAGAAAATTTGAGTTAAGAGACCAAACAAGTCTACTCCAAGATTTTGGCATTTGAGCCCAAGCTCTGAAGAAGCAGAGCAGATTTCTTCCATTTGTGTGACTCCTTCCTCACCACACAAGGTGGCTGTGCAGCCTCCAGGGATGCTTTGGCTCCTCTGGGACAGGGAAGGCACCTTGGCAGCGCAGTGACCATCGTGACAATCCACCTCACTGCCAAGTTTCCCCACCAGCCCTACAAAACCAACTGCAGCTGCAGAGATATAATGCTCAGCATCCTCTGCCAGGCTGAGAAAACATCAGGCTATTCCTGTCTCAGCCCTAGCAAGCTTGGAAACGAGAAAACACGGGGAAAAACAGGCTTAAAAAGTCAGGTTTCCTTCCCCTCCAAAAAGCTCAGAGAGGGAATATTTTTAAATGATTCAGGATCTGAGGAGAGCTGCTGCCAGCCCATCCAGCACTGCTCCTCCAAAGATGTGTGCTCCACTTATTTTGCCTCCCAGGATGCATGACTGAACCTGACTGACGCTCTTAGCTGAATTTTAATACCTTAATATTTCATGGGCAGCTGTTCTCAGCAGGCCGCTCTCCACACTCAATAATACATAGAGCCACTGGTTAAAAGACTTGGGGGAGGTTATCTGAGGCCCTGGAAGAGACACTCAGAGCAGGGAGCCCACTGGAGCTGCTGCAGGTGCTCAGCAACCTCGTTCCCATGGGGTTAGAGCCACCATGAAATTTGGGATGTGACGGGGTCTGCAGCCCCTCTGCTCCTGCCCATGGAGTGGCCCCGAGGGGGAGAACATCAGGTCAGGAACATTCAGCTTCCATTAGCTGCCCTCTAAAGAGAAAGGAAAACCTGGAGCTGTTGTTGTGGGTTTTGGTCCCTCTTCACAAAGGGAATCTGGTCTGAATCCAGCTCTTCCCTGAGATATTTGCAGGAAGCTCTCAAAGATTCCTGCAGAGATGCTTCCCTGCTCATCCACTCTCACGAGAGGCTCTAGAGACCCTCTTCAAAAACACATTTTTGTACGTTCCATAGAGGGCCTGGAGCCAGCTCTGGCAATACTCACACCCACAGAAAAGCCAGAGGAGCACTTTCACCAAGGGGTTGCAGGAGTTATCCTGGGAGGGTGCAGGACCTGGCCAAGTCTGCACTGAGAATAACCCCCCTAAAATTTTCATTCCCAGACTACTAGATGAGCTGTGACTATAAAAATCCCCTTTCAGTAAAATAAGTGGAAAACACACACCAGTAAACAGTGTGACTTAAACAACCAGACACTCTTGAGGTCAAGGATGTCAGAGAGGTTGTGAGGGGAACGGGGTATCTGTGTGTAGGGCCAAGGTACTGGCTGACAGTCAATAAAAAGTTGCACAAAGTTTAAAGATTCGTGCACTTGGGCTACAGTCAGCCTTAAAAAACAGAATGGTAGCTAGAGTTGGTGTGGTGGGAATGGGAAAACACTGATCCCATCACCTTCCTACCCTAGAGTCCCTACAGCTTCTCCTGAAGCAACCTGGACAGACCTTGGACCCAAAGAGTTCTAACAGTTCCTATGTTTTGTGTTGATGTGAATACCTTGCACTTGGTCCTTACAACACTCTTCTGCCCAACTTCATGGGGATTTATTGGGGGAACACAAAGTCAGAATGCTGCCATCAAGGTGGATCAGCAGCATCTTCTCTACAGAGACTCGAGGTCAGAAGGGTGCAGAGAGAGGAGCCACACTCTGCAGGCTTCTCTCCTCTTGAATTCCCTACAAAAGTGAATTTTGGGGAAACAAGAGGAACTTTTAAAACTGCCAGGGACTTCAAAGTCCCCAGCTTACAAAGAGCTTCATGCCTAAAACACATCCTCACTGAGCTCTGCTCTGATTTCTTGCCCTCCACGATCTTTGTACAGCAGCAGGGGCTTGAATTCACTCGATGGGGGAAGACCCTTTTTACAGCAAACTGCTTTCCACCTCCCAAATCCTGCAGCCCCCCTGCTGCACAAGGAAATTTAAAATAAGCCCAGAGAATTTTATTTTCATCTTGGTGGGTGGGAGAAGGAGGGCGATATAGTTTTCTCCCCTTTCTGGTTTTAATTATGATCAAACATTTTAGCTGGATGAAATTTCATGGAGGCCCAAGCCCACTTGGCCTCTCAAGTCTCAGCCTGGGAGGAAGGCAGAGTGTTAAGTCTCTTAGTTTAAATCACCCAGCACCCATCTCTGAGCCCCTCACTCATGAGAGATGAAGCCAGGCCATTTTTCAGCTGATTGGCAGCTGGTGCCACGTTCTGGATCCCACTCAGCAACACGTGTCCCTTGGGGCTTTTTAAATCCTATTTAGAGATTGAACGGTCAGAGGCTGTTACTCAGAATCAGTTAAAGGCTTTCAAGCTGCCAGGTCCTAAATCTAAGGGCAGTACCTGTCCCAGTGAGATGCAGCACTCCCATCTCACTCACCTGCTCGGAGCAAGATGACCTGGTCGTCCAGGGGCAGCTCGGAGAAGTGGGGGATCCTCTTGGCCCACTCCACCAGGGTGAAGAGCTGTTTGTCTGCTGCCTGGCATATGTTCGTCACTGGGTCATTGGGCTGCCAGAAAAAAGAAAATGGAAAGGCTTGGAGAAGGCAGAGCAAGGAGAGGAGAGGCTGGAGCAGCAGCTGAAGGGGGCTTTCTGCCTCCCTGCCACCCCCGAGGTGGATGTTATCAGTCACAGGGAGAGGAGGTGATTTGGCCTCTCCACCACATGGGTTTTAATAGTTTTTAGCAAGCTCCAAAGCGGGAATTGGGAGTGCTGAGAACCAATATCCATCACACTGACTGATGAATCAAAGGACCTCCAGCCCAGGGAAGGGCAGGCTCCCCATGCCAGCATCTCCCAGCTCGATAAACCAGCACCAGAGGGGGCATTACAGAAAAAAAGAGAAAACCCCTTTCCTTTGAAATATTATCCAGTAACAAAAACCATCTGCTCTCAAGGAGGACAGTCAGCCTAAACACACCAAATCCCTGTTTAAAGGAACTGCTAACAGCTCAAGTGGGTTTGTGATTAGGAACTGGAAGAGCCTGTCTAACCCTGACTGAGGCAGAGCTCACTGGTACAAGTGTGTGTGTAGGGTTTACCTCTCTGGACAGGGATGTATGAGCCCTTCCACATCTCCCACTGTAATCCCTGCTGATATCCAGCAGCCTGGATTGTACAATTATTTTTCTTCCATGTCCTTAAAAGAGCAGTTTCCAAACCAGAAGGAGCAGTGTTTACTTCACCCCTGGACTGCAGGGGGAACGGGGTATGAATTCAGAGGCAGAGCAGACACGACCACCAGTGTAACCTCTCCCCCTGCAAGGCCATTCCTCACCACTTTGTGCCACAGCAAACCCCTCTCCCAGGCTGGACAAACAAGGGTCACGCTGCTCAGTCACCCTCCTGCCCCCCACAGCCTTGCCCCAGACCCTGGCCCAGTCCTCTCTGCTGTGCCCTGGCAGCAAACCCAAACTCTCTGCCTCATGGCCACCATCTCCCATTCTCCAGGCTTAAAATAACCAGGATCTGGCAAGCTCAGGGCACTTGCCTTGAGGTATTTTCAGCTGTTGCGTGCAGAGATGGATGGGCACGGGCTGGCACTGCCGTGGGGACGGGCCCCCCTGCTCTGCCCCTCTCCAGCAGCTCCCAGGGAGCTGAGGCTCTCCCCTGGGGAGGGAGATGTGAGTAGGGATGAGGCTTTTACCTGGCAGAGGGAGAAAAGATGGGATTTCCCTCTGGACAACAGGAAATCGCTAAACTGGGTGTGAGGAGGAGGTGTGAGGAGGAGCTTTGCAGGGTTGTTTCGCTGGAAGCACAGGGAATGTTGGCATTTAGAGGCGTTTTCAGGAAGGGTGAGAAGGAACACCTGTGGTGCAGCCTATAGGAATGTCTCCAACCTCAAGCCATCTCAGTTTGGTCAGCTGGAGCAGCCAGGTGGAGAAACCCGGCGTCCTGGCTCCCGTGGGATGGGGATGGAGCCCTGTGTGCCCCAGAGGGGACATGACCTATGGGAGAGCCCATGCTCCAGCACAACCTGACCCAGCATGTGCCTGCACAGCCCCACAAAAGGGGTATTTTAGGCAAGGAAGATGTTTTTGCCAAAGCTTTTATCAGGGGTGGCTTCTGGGCAGGTTGTCACCATCTCTAGGACCCACAAGGTGGGCTGCAGGTGCCCCAGCCCAGGCTGTCACTGGGGGTCTGTGGGCAGCACAGATGTACCCAACCTCTGGTGCTCTGTCCAAAGCCTCAGCGAGGGGCCCAGCCTTTAATTACACCTCAGATGGCAATTCCTGGAACCACCACGGCGCTTCCTGGCAGAACTTAATCATGGTAGAGCGAGAGGCAGCTAAAAGTATCCTCCCTGCAGATCCAGAGGGCCCTGCCTGGGCACAGAGGGGCTGGAAACCCTCCCTGTGCATGGAAAGCAAATCCCCTCCTGCAGTAAATAGCAAGGGCAGGGTGCTGGAGTGTGACAAAATGAAAGGGCACTTGATCTCCTTGGAAAACTGGAGCTTGGGGACATCTTCCAGAAACTGGTGACTTGGAACCAGACATCAAAGGCCAATTAAGAGCTAATGGGGATAACACCTCTCAGTTACACACTCTGCCTTTCAGAGGCCAGGAGCCCATCCACGGTGGTGCTTCCACCACAGGAGCACAGATTCCCAGTAGCCAGGGACATGGGGCAGAGGAAAACCCATCCTCACTGTCCAGGGACAGGTACCTGCTCCAAGAGTAGCCAGGGGACCATGGCACAAGATGACAGTCACAGGCATGAGAACATGTAGTGACAGGACAAGGGGGAATGGATTCAAACTGAAAGAGGGTAGGTTTAGATGAGATATTAGGAAAACATTCTTTCCTGTGAGGGTGGTGAGGCACTGGCACAGGTTGCCCAGAGAAGTGGACCCATTCCTAGAAGTGTTCAAGGCCAGACTGGACAGGGCTTGGAGCAACCTGGGCTAGTGGAAGGTGTCCCTGCCCATGGCAGGGGTGATCTTGAACTTTCCAACCCAAACTACTCTATGATTCCATGTGGGAGAGGAGGGTGTTAACTCCTACATCACCCTGTCACCTCCATCCCAACCTGGTACAGCCAGGTGGAAATGTCCTTGCAGGTTACCAGAAGCATTCATTGTAGATGGACTAAGGTGCAGAGGCACAGACCAAAGGACCCAACACACCAGGCTAATAGCAAACAGCTTGTGTTTTACCCCCTGTCTATCAGGGACTCGATTTGTCTGCCTTTCCATCACCTGGGCTCCCAGGGGAGGGCTGGGAGGATGGTTCCTCCTCCACTTTCCCTTGCCTCATCCAGTGGCCTCGTCCCTGGGAGCTGCTGATCTCACACATCTGCTAAACCTGCTACAAATGTCACCTCATCGGCAGAAGCCGCCTGACAATAATAGGGCATTTCAACAAGCCTCCTGCTTCTATTTAGATGCAACACACATCCTTGTTCACAGTAATGCGTGTTGAATTATGCAGGAACCAGCTTTCAATTTGCTACAAGAGGCTGAGGAGACGCAGTGCCAGACGAAGCCATTTATTTCAGCTCGCTCTCTGGGGTTTGTTTTCAAGTCAGCACAACGCTGGCTCCGACTCCCCTGAAGTGTTTTTAATCCTGAGAGCAGCCAGAGCCTCTCTGAGCCCCTCACTAACTGCTGCCTCTTCCTCCAAAACCAAAAAAGTCCCTTGCGGCTTCATGGTGATGGGACCCTCCTCTCAAATGCAGGTGAGCGCCACACCCTGTATCTGATTCTGGAGAGTTTCACTGAGGAACTGGCTCTGTCCACATCAGGAAGCCTCGAGTGTCCAAATCAGCCCTATCCATACCACACTCACTGAAAAGCCTCACCTAAGGGATCCAGCCATAAGGTGTCCTTGCAGGTGAAGGCCAAAAAGAGCATCACCCAGAGCCAGTTAAGACTTAGGAGCAGCCTGAACCTGAAATCTCTTGTCCAGCCCCACCAAGCAGAATCAGTCATAGAATGGTTTGGGTTGGAAGTGACCTTAAAGATCATCTCATTCCATCATGCCATGGGCAAGGATGGAGGTATTTCTGACTCAACCCTCCAAGCCTCATATAAAAGAAGACATGAAGTATTATTGTAGCAGAACATAAATACTGCAGAGCCCTTCCACCTGCTAGAAATAGCTGCATTTCATCATCTCAGCCTCACAGACACCCAGCAGAGAGCATTAAAAATTGCACCAGACCAGGATGCTCCAAGCCCTGTCCTATTTCCCTGTCATCTCTCTCCTGTTTACACAAGGTCCTGTTAGAGCCCAGATGCTCCAAGCAGGCCCAGTTATAATGCAAGTTTCTAAACAGGAAAGGAACATGAAAGCAAATCTCTAGGCAAATTTGTGCAGCTTTTTTCTTCTCAGAGCCAAGCAGCTGTGTAATTCTGCCTCTGAAAAGTCACACCCTCAGTTTACAGCTCTTATCTCTCTGCACTTCAGCCACGCAGGTCTGTTTATTGGCTCCATTGGACTCTGAGCTCTTCAGAGCATGGAGTGTCTTTCTGCCTTTTAGCACTGAGGGCTGTTAATTAAAATAAAATCTTCTCTGCGAGCCCTTCTAATTACGCCTCACAGTATCTGTGCCTTCCCTGTGGCTGTGGGATAGAACAGTACCAATGCTGGTGGCTGCTGGGTCTGCTTTCCACGTGCTTCCATCTGAGCTCACACACGGAGTGTACAGCAGAGGCAAGGATTGCATTTCTGAGCTCCTTCTTCTCCCACAGGACAACCCCCCTGTGCCCCAGGCTCAGGGCTGTACCCATGGTCAGCCTCTCCTGATGCCCCACAGCCACCCCTCGTGCCCTAAGTGGGCAGGGGGAGGAGGTGCCTCACCGAGCTCGGCGTCAGGCCCATGTTTGCCTCGATGTAGGTCTCTGTCTTTGGCTCCACAGCGAGTTCAGCTTCCAGGATCTTTTCCACAGGCATGTCCTCGTTGGCGCTACTTGTCGACTCCACCTCGTTCTCGTTGCGGTCCTTCCCCCGCTGCCTCTCCTCCTGGACAGCTGCAAGTGGACAGAGGAGGGACAGTGTCACTCTGGGGTCTCCAGGCTCCATGGAGCTATGGGTGTTATTTAGCCATGAAATCCCAGAGCATCCTCAGACCTGCAGGATCACACAGACATCTGAGGTCTTGCTCTCCCACCAGTGTGGTCAGTGGGTCTCAGGATTGGGTTCAAGGTGAGGTGAGGTTTGGGGAAGACACCAAGGCAGCCCCAGCCTGGGAGAGCTGCTTCTTGTGTGCCCCCCTGGGAGTGTGGCAAGGGAGGATCCTGCTTGGACCTGGCCTCTGCTGGGAAAAATCCCATTTCTGCAGAGGGGGAGGCCCTGGAAAAAAAAAGGTTAAAGACAAAAAAAGCAAAGGAAGCAACATGGCAAGTCACCCCAGGAGTGGGAAAGGGATAGCTGAGGTCATACAATAAGGGAATACTAAAGAAAAAAGAAACTGGTCAGTTAAAAGCACAAATCCAGAGTTCAACCATCTTCTGAGGCTGTTATTCCCATGGAGGTCATGTCATGCACCTCTCTAGCTCCCAGTGATGCCAAAGGCTGAGCAGGGCTCCGTGGCAGGATGGTGCTCCCGTGGGACAGGAGCTCCATGCAAACCACCACCCTGCCTTTGGCTCGGGGCAACCTCTGAACAGACAGGAGAGACCTGTCCCAAATCCTGTGTGGCAGGAGGAACCTCGCCAGAAGCTTGTCACATGCTGATGAGTTATGTCTGAGCAGCACAGAGATGAAAAACACTTATTAGATGCTAATAACATTATTATTAATGACCTCCCTTTGAAACCAGCACACACTTTCCCTACACCTGGGAAGGAGCTTTATGCAGTTACAGTGGGAACTATCTCCTTCTCCATCATCATGTCATATACCCTAAATCCCACACTCTTCCACACACTGTTGTTTTTCACAGTTTGTTTTAGCTCAGTCTACTTGAGAACAGCCCCAGCAACAGGAGATCCATCACTGGCCATGAGAGGCAACTCCCTGAGCTTGCCCAGCTCTTTGCTGAGGACTGAATGACACACTCAGTAAGGTAAAAGCCTTGCTATTTACTGACAATTATCCCAACACTTTCCCTCTCTGCTGAATTTGAAGTTGGTTATGTGATGTTTAGGGAAAGCAGCGGGGGCACAGCATTATTTGGGGGAAATCAGAGCTGTCTGTAACACAAGGAGGCTTTTTAGGCAATCAGCGGGTCCAGCTCTATGCCAAGTGCAAAAATAAAACCTGCAGTATAAAACTCATTCCTTACAAACCAGGAAATTAAGACACATGCTAAACGAGCCCTATATGGATGCTGATCCCATTAACCCAGCTCCTGGGGCTGATTCCCACTGCTCTCCCTCCCCTCCCGCAGTGTTGCTGTTTGCTGCACATCAACAGTGCTCACACTCCTTCCATGTGAAAGCTGTCATGCAAAAAAGCAAGGGGTTATTTTTTGCTCTGAAGTTTATGGGCTGCAGAGGCTCCCCAGGCCCACGTTACATGTTCTGCTCAGGCTGCCAGAGCCAGGTAAGCTGCTGCTGTCAAGGGCTCAGATTTGTGTCGTGGCTTTTGTCCATCTGGCTCTTGTCTGGCACGGATTCTTCTTTTTCAGGCCAACATAAAACCCTGCTTAAATTTCACCCCCCACCCCTACTCCTGCTTCTTCAAGCGTCAAAAAGATAGAAATTTTTCCTTAATGTCAACCCTTCTTCAACAGCACAGATGCACCAAAACTCCTCTGGGCACATTAGAAGAGATAAAACACCTACTAAATAACAGAAAAGCCTGAGAGAAAGGCAAACCCTCAACAAATGGGATCTTATAAAATGACTTAAATGCCAAAATTCTGATGCACAGTCACAGTAGGTCTTAAGGATAAAGGTGCAAAGTTGGTTCCTTGCTCTGAGATCAACCACCTCCATCACTTGGGGTGTCAGCCCCAAAAACTCACCCTCGTGCTGGACAGTGGGATTTGTGGGAAAGCATCACAGAGGTCTGGGGAGACAGTGGTCACTTAAAGCCTTAAATCTGCAAATCTCAACCTCACCAAAGCCAACAGCCACATTCCTGGCACGAAGAATCAGAGACACTTCAGGGGTTATAGGAGAGAGAATCTTACAGTCCATCATGACAGCTCTGGCCTGTGATTAGGCTGAATCCAGCTGATACAAACGACAGACAGAAGAGACAGATGGGAAGAGATTATACACATAAGTAGTTATTCCTATTGATCTCTGCTTTGAGCTGTTACACCAGAAAATTGGTGCTGCATCTCGCTGGGGAGCTGGTCAGGGGACAGCTGACTCATCCCAGCTCAGCCCCACGCAATCCCAACACTCGCCCCGTCCCAGCTGCCTGAGGCAGCAGTGACACCCCGGGCAGAGCAGATGGTGTATTCCCACCCAGTATCCAAAGATAAACCCAGTTCTTGCCGGGGAGAGCATTACCTGCTTTGCTACCCCCGTGTTTCCAAGCCCAGCCAGCCTTCTCCAAAGGCAGGACCAGCCTGGGCATCACTTTGCCATCGCCCCCGTCCATCCCATCCCATCCCATCCCTGGCTCTCTGGGTTGCAGGAAAGCACTGGCTGTTTCCCAACACTGAGCTCAGAGACCCTGTTATCCCCCTTTCCCCCGAGGATGATGCCTCATGCACAGGTCTGCACCAAGGTGTGCACCTGCAGGAGCAGGTGACTGCACTACGTGAAGCTCCGCCGCTCCTTAGGTGTTTGTGAACCCCACCTGGGAATGATGCAGGACACCTGCCCGGCCCTGGCTGATGGATGCAGCTCTCAGGGATGCCTGTGAGGCTGTTGACTCAGTTGTAGATGCTGTTTTCTCTCCCTACAGGCAGCTCCAGCAATGAAGTGGCAACAGCTTCATTCTTCATGTGTGCAACAGGTTTGCTCCTACCACAGCTCTGTGGTTGGCCTTGGGGTACACATGAACTCCACTCCAGCAATCATCTTACTGTCACCTTGTTCTTCCATGTGTGGCACTCCCAATGTCCCCCTTTAGGATCCAGAGGCTGAATTCAAACTTTGTGTCTCCATTTTCCTAATTTAAGATACACCTTGAAGCATCCTACGGCTCCAGGGGCAGAAAGCCCAACAAGTTGTCCTGAAAGGTGAAGGTATTTGCAGCTGGCATTCAAAACTCTGGGATTCTGTGGGTTCCAAGACTTGGAATTCCCTGCAGGTGCAGCCATCCTTGCTTCAGAAGCTCAGAGAGCACATCCAAGGTGAAAGGAGCAGGGAGAAGTGTCTAAGAGCTGCCAGTCACTGACACACCTTCTTAGCAGAGTCCTCCATGTCTCCCATCTCCACAGGCACAAGATGCCTGAATTTCCTGCAATCAGCATTTCCCTGGAGGTACTGAGGACCTGACAAGCTGTTGCTCCTTCTTAGCAGAGATGCTGAGGGACCATCACCATCTCAGAAAAAGAACAAGGACTTTGTTTCTTGAGATGTAGGGAAAAAATAGCACACAGGGCAGAGGAAGGAAAGAAGGGCAAGTATTTTTTCTTAATCATGAAATATGAGATGTTTGTATGAAGGAAAATCTCCAGCAGTGAGGACACCGCTCACCATAATGATCTAGGATCTCATCTCTGGAGTCCACTCCCCCCTGAGATTAGTCAAATAAACCACACTGGAGATGACAAAAATACATTTTTCAAATGGACTTGGTGTGGGAACTGGGTTTCTTTGTGGGTTTGTTCTTTATTTATAGTTTTAAAGAGAGAAATACAAATGTGGCAGCTGCATGGCAGCTTGTCTGGTAGTATTGAAATGGGAACACCTCGTTCTTCTTGGCTTCCCAGAAGTCCTTGTACATGGGGATGGATGGTGCTCCATCCCTGTAACACAGTAAAATTTAGAAACCAGGATCATTATACCATTTGGTTCTTGTTGCTTCTGCTGGATTTCCCTGTGCCCCCCCCTCTGCACTGTGCCCTCCTGCTTTGCTGTGTGGGCAAAGAGACATCCAGCTGCTGTCCAAGAGAACCTTGGGAAGAGGATTAAACTACAGAGTGCCTGTGATTACAAGGCACTTGACAGCATGACCTCTAAAGACCTTTCCAAACCTCAGCTGGGCCCTCCTGCTCTTGCTGCAGTGAGATGGTGATAAGGAGGTGAAGGGCTGGCAACACATCCCGCTGCTGAGAGCAGGAGGAGGGAAGAGCTGGCAAGGGCTCTGCAACACCAGTGTGATCATCCTGACTCCCATCACCCTCAATTCCCGCCTCAGCAGACAGGTTTGTCTGGACAAACCACAGGGTTTGGCTCGGATGGATGCAGGGAAGCCACGGAGAGCAGCAGGTGTCCCCGTCCTTTCATCTCCCTCTCAGACTGTGGGTGTTAGATCCACTCTTAGGACTGTGCTGTTCCCAACAACGCTGATTTTTCTGGTCATGAGGGTGGCTCAGCATTTCATCAACAGCGTGGGCCTATCCAAAAAACGGGATGTGAGCCAGGCATTTTGCTCGCTGCATCCCAAAAAAACACTCTCCTGCAAGGCAAAGCAGCCCCAAGCTGTGGCTCCCCCAGCCATGCCATGTTTCCAGAGCTGAGCTTCCCTGCGCTCTCCTCCGTGTTCACGGCCGTGCCAACGCTTTTGTTTTTCTTCAAGGAGACTCGTATGGCTGAGAGCTTTTCCAGTCTGATTTTCTAAGCATAAGGGAAGCATTTGAACCTTGCAATCCACTTGAGGAGAAAAAAAAGATGTTGTAGTCAGGGAGCTCGGAGAGGCAGCCCCACCTCCTCCAGCTATGTCTGAGCCGAGCCAAGGACAGAAGCCTGTGTTTTCCATGGCACCTGATGAAGAGGCTCCTGTGTTATTCTGCTTGATTTGGTCTTTACTTGCCTCAGGGTAGTCGCTGTCATTTTTCATCTCGAGCTTCTCCAGCCCATCTGCACTTCCCCAGGCCATGGTACAGCAAGACACGGAACCCCGTGTGTCCAAAACGCCTCTTGGTGACCTCTCTCTCTTTAGGATCCAAAGTGTCTCATCC